AAGTATTAGGTTACTGTCTAGGTTGGAACAGGGGCATGCTGGGAAGAAGGGTTTGTTCTTTGGTGGGAGCAACCATCTTGGCATGAGGTCACACAGGGGAGGGGGCAAGGCACCATAGGAAGAGGGCAGCTACTATACTTAATAGCTGCTGAGGTGGTGGGAGACCTATCAAAGTACACTTAAGGAACTTGCTCAAGGTCATCCAGCTCAAGGTGGCTGACGCAAGCTTTGAACCTCTCTGGTCTGACTTCAGAGCCTGGCCACTCAACTTGTCTGCTATTCAGTCTCTTTTGTGGTGCCTTCTTCAATAAAAGTTTCTTGTAGATCGAAAATACTCTCACCCTTTTACCCTTTTACCCTTTTGTCCTAGGTACTATAGTCAATTTGTGTTGATAGAGTGGAAAAATCTGCAGATGCAAAGTGTGTCTAGGTCACCAGGATGGTGATAATGAATAAACAACAGAACAAAGGCTGCAGGACGTACCACCCGCTCTTTGTTGTTTCCAAGCACTGCTTGCTGCTCAGTGATGTCTGGACGAGTCCTTCTAGTGTAAATGTAGTTTACTAGCCCAGAAGAACTCTGTCTGGCAGTACTGTTGATATTAACCTCTCATGTGTCAGGATGGAAAGAGGAATTGTGCTTCCCCTGGGAAATTTTCTGAAAGTGTGTTAGAGGCATCACAAGAAGAAAGGAAAAGGAGAAGCAGAGTGGGCCATGCTCACGATTTAGCATGCTACCAAAAGTGAGATCCTCACCCTTTTCCTAAACCACACACACACTTGTATCCTTAGTTGTTTCTCTGAAAGACTGTGCCAAGTTGCTTAACCTTGCCAACTTTCATTTTCATCTGTGCAGTGGCAGTAATGTTACCTTCTTCACCCGCCAGTTGGTGTGTTTAAATGAATACCTTTGTTTGGTGCCTAGCACATGGCTAGATCTCAGTAAATGCCACATGTTGGCTTACATCATTGATCTTAATAAATCCTATCTATGGAGGAAGGCTTTGGCTGCTTCATATATCAAAGAGGTAGAAAAGCTACTGTAGCCATTGACATTTATTTACCACTGTTTCAGTGCGGTATCACTATCCATCACAGCCTTGGGGCTGACCTCAGCCCCCATCAGTCTAAAGCATGCCCGCCTTCACTTCTGTCATTTCAACTTTGCTGGCTCCATTTAATGATAAACTGAAAAGACTTCCACAACATGGGAATGCTCTTGCTTCCTATGAAGAATAGTGCAGAGACTATAGTAGACAGTTTTTAATGCAAATCTCTCCAAATTAAAAAATAGTGATTTTTCATGAATTGTTTTCATTTCCCATATTTCTAGGGACAAATTTTCCACATCTTAATAAAATCACCAGATTAGCCTACCAACATATCTAAAACTACATATTAAAAATAGCTCTGATCTGAATATATATACCCTGATTTTCTTTGTTCTGTGCATAGGCAAAGTGAAATAGATATCACAGACACAAATGCAGTAACTAGTAATAAAATACAAACCAATATATTACAAAGTACAATTTTAAAAATTATATTTCAAAATTTTTTCACCAAAAGCTTCTCCTCTTTTCTAATCTCTTTGGTCTGCCTCTGGTTTCAGAAAAGATTTGGTGCTGTTAGACCATTCAGGAGACCACAGAGCTCTGAGGAGCCGCCATTTTCTGACTTGGGATTCTGTGGGAATTTCGTTTGATTCCAAGGCCAAATCTGAAGGTCACTGACTTTTAACTCAAAACATTATCTTTGTAGAAATTTGTGTGTAAACATATTTAGAAAATATCTTCAGAAGATATCTGTAAAATGAGAGTTGGAGTAAGTAATTTCTAAAGCCTTAGTAATTTCCACGTGTTAGAAGAAATCTTAACAATGAAAGAAATTTTTTTGAGCAGTTGGTGGGCACTCATATTAAAGATTTCCATGTAATAGCTCATTCTAAGTCACTCAACAGCCATATGAAATTATTTTATTTTACACATAGGTAATGGAGATGCTAAGAGGCAAGTCCTGTAGTTTACCAAAGGCTATTCACTTAAACAAGCAGCAGAAATTCCAACCCACCTCTGTTATCTCCACAGCCAGTGCAAAGAAATGCTGCCCCATACTTTTACTACATTTCTATCAACCTTCATCAAGTGGGAGAACAACCCATTTTCCTATCAAAGGGACAATTACCTGGGGTTAGGTCCACAGTAATTATGGCAAGATAAACATACTTTTTCTCTTGCCTTTGTCCTAGTCACCTTAGTGTTACCACGTTTTTCTACCTTACCAGAAAATGACATCATGGATCCAGAAAAGCCTCACCTCTTTCACAAGGACTCAGCTTGTATTTGCCAGAAAATCAGCTCTTTCCTTCTCTTCTTTTGGTGGTATCTGCACTGTTACGGCCCCAGGTCTCTGGTGTACTGTTGGGAAGATCATAATCCCCTGGGGGAAAGTTTTTGTTTCTCTGGACAACCTGTGGTTAAAGGAACAGCAGCTTATAAGACACAACTGGGAGGGGGGAAAGGGAACCAGGAGCAACCACCTCTTATGGTTCAATGCCAAACAATGGCTAAGCCCCAGCGCATTTATAGATTACTCTCCTTTGCGGAGCTTAAGTGGCCTATTATCAGTCTCTGGGCATGATTATGGAGTACCCAGGACATTAGCCTGCTCAATTATTATTATTTTGGGGGGGGTACCGGGGATCGAACTCAGGACCTTGTGCTTGCAAGGCACATGCCGGAACCACTGAGCTAAATCCCCAGCCCCTAGCCTGCTCAATTATTGATCTGACCTGCAAACCTGGCAAATACAGCTAACTAATCAATCTGAACTCTTACCTAACCAGCACACATTGTGAGAAATCCTCCACACTCTCCCTTTTATTATGCACCTACTGTGTACTGTCCATTACTAAATGCCTGTCCTGATGTTACCTCATTCAGAAATCATCTTGAAATGATGTCACTAACTGGTGAATGGGTGACTTCATTTTATTTCTTATATTTTTCTAAAATCAAATAAATTTTCTCTCATGTGCACATATTGCTATATTTTTATTACCAGAAAAAAATTATAAATTATTTCTAGTGGGCATACTTCTAGTCACGTGTGTGTATATATATACTCAGATGTATGAATAATATATAGTAAAACCTTGGCTTTCAAACATAATTCATTCTGGAAACATGCTTATAATCCAAAGCACTTGTATATCAAGGCAAATTTCCCCATAAAAAATAATGGAAAGTCAGATGATTTGTTCCAAAACCCAAAAATATTCATATAAAAATGATTACAAGCCAGGGATTTAGCTCAGTAATTCCACTGCCTGTCTCACAAGTGGAAGGTTCCAAGTTCGATCCCATGTACCAAAAAAAAAAAAAAGATTACAATACTGTAATATAATACAAAATAATAAAATACAAAATGTAAAGAAAAATAAATGAACCT